CCTGGGTGCATTGCAGTGTCCTTTCATCCCCCAGGGAGGAACCCAGAGGGCAGGTGGGAAGGGAAGAGGGCTTGGGAATGGGGATAGGGTAGCCAGCACCTCCTGTATTTCACATTCTTCCTGGCCTGGGTAGAGGGCTGGTTAATGCTTGGCCCTGGGATGCAGAGATGCTTCAACTCTGAGTCAGATCCAGTCCACGCACTTAGCTTAGTTAAGAGATAAAGCCCACGAGAGGTGCTCTGGGAGCACAGAAATCAGATGCTATTGACCGAGAGTGGAGGCTGCACAGAGCAGGGGACATTGCAGCTGAATCCTAGTGACTGTAGGCCTAGCAGAGACTCCATACCCAGGGAACCACAGTGGGAGGGGCACCCCCTGACAAGCACAGTACCATGTACACCATATGTGCTTGGTGAGTGAATGAATGAGTGTTCTCCTATGGATGTCAGTTTTCAGGAATGCTGAGATTTAAACCAAGATCTCCTAACACTCCTCCCTCTCGTCGTATAATTAGGCAGCAATTCGTTGCAGAGTCACTGCTGTCATCTTATGGAGCTGTCTCTCAGCACCCAACATCCTGACCGTGTGAGAAGCTTCTTAGGAAGAAATGCTTTCCATGAAGTCTGCTTTGAGCTCTCCTATTACCAAGGAGAAGAGCTTTGAGCTTTCTGCAAGGAACTCAGAGCCACTTTGTCCATAATCAACTACATGCATTAAAGAGAGTGATTTTTTTTAATCCTCCCCAAGCCAGATTCCATTAATGAAGCCCCATTTAACGGAAGTCAATTTACCAAAAAGAAAAAAAAAAAGAGTGTAATTGCTTAAATACATTTTATGTTGTACTGCAATAGCAATTTCCTGGGTGAACTTGGAATTCCCCAGGCCCCCCATAGTGAAGTTAATGTGGACAGAAAGGTTTAAAGGGGAGAATCTCCCTTTGTGTTTTTTTTCCTTTAATTATGATTCTAAGAGGGAGCAAAATTAAAGAGGATTCTGGGGAGAGGAGGGAAGGGAAGAACAGCAACAAATGGATTTCAGCCTAAACTGTTCCACTGTCTTCCTTCATGCATGCGTATATGTGGCTGAGCTCATAGGCTCTGAGTGGGATGCAGTTTAATAGCTGTGTAACTTTGAGCAAGTTACCTAACCTCTCTGTGCAGCCAGGTGGTATCATGTGAAAGGGCATAAAGAGCAGCAAGTGCAGAGGCAGAAAAGCATAAAAAAGCAGTGTGTGTTCCAGTTCACATAAGGTCTTCTGTTTGGAGAATGGTGTGTGCGTGCGTGCGTGCGCACGCGTGCGTGCGCGCATGCGCACGCGCATGCACGCACCTGAGAGCATGCATGCTCCGGGAGGGCAGGCAAGTGGGAGTCAGATCAGGAAAGCTTCTCTGAGAAGGTAACATCTGATCAAAGGCTTGGAGGAAGTGAGGGGGTAAGCCCGGCGGAGGTCTGGGAAAAGGGCCGGCTAGCAGGCAGAGGGACTATCAAGTGCAAAGGCGCTGAGGCCGGAGCAGGCTTGGCCAGCTTTGAACAGCTGGGACAAAGAATAAAGACATGAGGAGAGGAGAACACAGGAGAAGGAAGAGTACACGGGTGTTTTTAAGGCCTGTTGGCCATAGGAAAGTCTTTTACTCTGAGGATTGGAACCATTAAAGATTCGTTTGTTTCTAATTAGTTCTGTTAAGGTACAGTTTACATCAAATAAGATCACCCATTTTAAATGCACAGTTCTTGGAGCTTTGACAAATGTACATTGCATATAACTACCATCTCATTCAAGATAGGGAACCCCTTGTACTCCTTTCCAGGCAATCCCCCCCGACCTGTGTCTCTTACCCCCAGCTCTGGCAACCACAAGCTGCTTTCTCTCACTGTAGATTAGTCTCTTCCAGAGTTTGATATAAATGCAATTGTATCGTTCATGCTCTTTTATCACCGAGCATAATGCTTTTGAGAGTCATCCATGTTGTTTCACGTGTCAGTAGTTGTCCTTTTTATTGGAGGGTTTTGAGCAAGGCATGACATTATCTCCACAGCAGAGTTTGTTGTGAAGCCCCCAGTTCTTCGATAGATGCCAAGAAAGAAAACTCTCAAATGTGCAACATTTATGTCCAACATTTATGTTTACTCTGTCCAGCAGTACAGAGTAAGGATGCATGGGCAACACAGGGCCTTTGCAAGGGTCAGCCTTGGGAATTAACGATTAACAGGACTCCCAGCAGTGGATAAAGTTGTGAGAGAAACGGGAGATGGGAGATGAGCCTTAGGGCTTCTCCAGGCTGTACGATTCCATGGAGAAGGGGTTTAAAGCAGATCCCAGGGCTGGGGAAGCCGTGCTGACTTCTGGTTACAATCTTGATCATTCCCACCATCCTGCTCCTGGGACCCCGGCTCCCTCCCTTTATTCAGTTTGGCAATAAACAGCCTTTGGTTTTGAATTATTCAGGTAATTTCTCCCTCTTTTTACTTCCCTTATGTAAATATCCTCTAAGCTTTGTCATTGAGAGAGAATTGAATTTGGCTTGGGGATAAAAAAATATAACCCACAATACTGTTTGTGGCTCCTTAGAAAACTTAAATGACTCAGCCTGTAATAAACTATTTTAAATGGGATGTGGTGAAATACAGTAATTGGTTTCTGTAATAGCTCTTACCATAGCAATATGGGTTATATTCCTGGAGTTTAGTGTGTGTCAGCATTTTCATTATAGTAAAATTTCAGTGTTGCAGGGTGTGAAGCTCCTTGGTTAGTTCTTTTGTTTAATACGTATTTGTGGAGACCAACCATGCTGGATCACTCCCATTCACCCCTTCGGATCCTCTCTCCTCCCTTTTCCACCCTATTCCAAGCCTAGGAAGACTTAACCTGTATCAATATGCTCCCTTGCTCCCTGGCTTCCAATTGGGCTAGATCAACAGAAGCATCAGCAGGAGATTGGAGGAGGGGAGGGAGGAGAGTGAGTTTCAAGTATTCATTCCTTGCTCCCTCCTGGTCGGATTTGCACAAACTGCCTATACTCCCGACTGAAGATTTGGGTCCATGCAGCCCTCTCCTTCAGGGATAACCATTCCCTCTGTGGAAAGTGGTTTCCCTTTTGCGAAGAATCCATTCATTCATTAAACTCCTGGAATTATTCTCATATGACTGTGCCATCTGTTTTCTGCTGGCATTCTGACATGCCTGCCTTGTAGCAAGCATTGTGGTAGGTGCATGGTATAAAGATGAAGAAGAAAAACGATGAAGAAGAAAATAGCAGCTGCCGCTTACCAAGAGCTCCCTACCTGCCAGGGACCATACTGGGGTCTTTTCTGTGTATTATCTCATTTAATCCTTGCAGTCCTTTAAGAGAGAGGCTGTTATCCCCATTTTATAGATGAAGTCACAGAGAGCTAAGTAATTTTCAAAACATCACACAGCTTCTTCATCACCAGGCTACATGGTCCCCTCTGAAGAGTTATCTTAGGGAGACACACACTTAAGGTAAATGAATCGTAATTTGAATAAAATGCTGCGGCATCATAGAGGAGGGGCGGGGAAAATTATATTTATTGAACTAATATGTGTCAGATACTGGGCTGGGTTCTTTGTCCGTAAGGTCTCTCGTTTATTCCCACAAAGTCTTCGTGAGCTGAGTTTTATTATTCTCATTCTCAGAAACGTTAGGTAACTGGTCCGAAGACATGCTGGTAGTTAGTGGTGAAGCCCGGATCTGAACCCAAATCTATGTGGCTTCAAAGCCAAGAAGAATGGGGAAAGCTTTCCTGGGGATAATATCTGGGGGCTTCCTGAAGTCGTCTTGGTGATGTGGGTGATGCCAGAGAAAGGGTTACAGAAGGGTGTTTTCCAGGCAGAAAAAGCAAATTCATAGAAAAGGAGAATGCACGGAATGCTTAGGGGACCTAAGCAGGGTGTCCAGCGGGTGGGAGCTGACAGGAGTGAGTGTGATGGTGCTGAAGGGGAAGCATCAGGGAGGTTTTGTACCTGATTCGTATGCGGAGAGGAAGAGAGGGAAGATGCTGAGCCTCGGGCCGCCTAGGAGGCTGTAGGGTAGAGGAGAGAAGATGGAGGGGCTTCCTGGGGAGCTGGGGAGTGAGCAGAACAAGATGGGCTACCGAGAACTTAGGCTCAGTATGACGGACAGGGCAGCCCTGAGCAGAGGCCCATGCAAGCAGGGTCAGGGTGGAAGGTTTGGAAGGCCAGTCTGTTTCGGCACTGTGGCAGCCACCGAAGGTTCTTGTGCTCTGAGTAACTCTAAGAGGGAAGATCGCATTAACCTGGAATTGGCTCAGGATGGCAGTTGGTCAAGAGGCTGGGGCAGTGACCAGTGACAGTGGGAGATATCCTGGCACCCCAGCCCCCGAGCTAGACTGGCTGGAATGCAGAAGAGGCTAATCTAAGGGACAGAGAGTGAGCTGAGCAGGGAGGAAGTGGCAGCAGGTGGAGGAGGGGGACAGAGGAGACCCAGGATCTAGCGAGTGACCCCAAATGGGCTCTCACATCTGTGCCTGTAGCATCTGCCCAAGCCCTTTCTTCTGACTCCTAGAAGAGCCCGAGGGGCTTGCTAGGGGGTAACTGAACCTCTGCCTGGAATGGGGTGCTGAGCCTTTGCTGGAGACCTGGGTGTTGGTCCTCTACATGGGGGCCGGGCCTTGTTGGGGGATCTGGATCTCTGCTGGGAGTGGGTATGTGGATGTCTACTGGGCAGGGGTTGGGGGATTCTGCTGGGAACAGGGGAGCTGGTCCTCTGCTCCAGACCTGAAGGATCTGCCCCCTCCTCGGGGCATCTCAGGGGAAACCAGCAGTGAGAAGAGCCCCTGGAGGACCTCCCTCAAGCTGCTCACACCCCAGGCTACTGGAGGGTGGCTGAGCCATCCCAGCTTTCCCTTCCTGCTCCAGGCCTAGGTGGAGGCCCTAATATGCAGGAGAAGAGGGGAGATTCCTGGATGCCCATTCCCCTGTCAACCTGGTCCCTGACCTGGCCCATTTCCTGTCCCCACAGGTTCACCGGAGCCAGCCTCCCAGCCCCTGTCATCAGCAGCAAGAATTGGCTGAGGCTGCACTTTACCTCAGATGGCAACCACCGGCAGCGGGGCTTCAGCGCCCAGTACCAAGGTAGGTGGGCCCGGGGCTGCTGTGTTTCCTCAGTGGGCGTCAGAGGTGACACCTGGGGGCTCATCCTGTCCCACACAGGTTCTGGTGTGGCTTCAGGGCATACTCGCCTCTGATGTCCTATTCTTTTTTGCAGGCCTAGAGGTCTGCTTATCTGCATCTCTACATCTGCCATTGTGGTCTGTTGCCCAAGGGAGGGACACTTCTCAAATTTTGTGAGCATTGTGTAGGTGAAGCTGCCCCTCTTCAGGCCAGGCTTATCCTAATAGTTAATATGGAGTGCCCTCTGGGAGCCAGGCACTGTGCTAGGCACTTGATAAGCATCATCGCATTTAAACAGTAAAGTAAAAACAGTAAACTGTCACCATTCTCATTTTATGGCCGAGAAAGGCGAGGCCCAGAGAAATTAAGCCAGTTTCCCAAGACCATCAGAACCCCTGCCTTTTGAACCCAGAGTTCACCATCTTACCCACTGGAGTTTAGCCCACCCCAGCATAAAGCCGGAGAGCAGCCCAGGTTTCAACTCTTCGTTTTGTGTAGGATACAATGTATTACAAACACAAGCACAATAATTTTAGTGAGTATTGTCGCTGAGAAGCTCAAATCTGTGAAGAGCTATCTAGTGGCAGGAGATCAGACCAGGAATGGCAGGCAGAGATTGCAGGTAAACAGATTTCTGCTCCAATCATGAAATCCCTAATCCCAAGAGTCATCTGTAAAAAGGAGTGGGTGAACCCCAAAGCAAGGAGCTCTCCACGACTGGAGGAGAGCCAAACTTTAAGGGGTGGGTGGGAGTGGATGATGGCATTCCATTTCATCCTTGAGTTTATTCGAAGAACACAAAATTTACAGAGATAAACACCAAGGGTTGGCCTCATAACTTGCTCATTAAGCTTTTAACTGTTACCAATTACAAATTGATGTGGGTTCTAATTGATTCGATAATGAACTTGGATTGCATACCTATTAAGTATCAGGCCCTCTATGGGGCCCTGGGGGGAAAAAAAAGAGGAGTGGGCTTAATGTTGTTTTGAGGGAGTGAATGAGTGAGTGAGTGAGGTAAGTAGGCTCCCATAGAACAATGACAATAAGAACAATGACAATGCTGACCTCATAGGAGAGATATGACCAGTGACAGTGGGAGAGCTCATCGTACCCCACTCACTGAGCTGGACTGGCTGGACCCCAGAAGAGGCTGATCTAAGGGATAAGGAGTGAGCTGAGGGGGCTGGGGGTGCAGCTCTGTGGAGGCAGCAGGGACTGGGGGAGGAGCCTGTCCCACTGCCGGGTATGCTGAGGAGGGAGCCACAGATTCCGGGTGGAGATCTTGCCAGCTTGTCCCTCTAAGCCACACCTTGGAAGCTTCAAGGTCCAGGCTATAGCAACGCAGTGCCCCTCCCTCCCCCGCCGCCAAAGGTGGCACGGGCAACGCGGAGCCCCTGCCACGAGGCCCCCAGGCCAGACTTTCTGGCTAGAAACTGGCTTAAAAGCAGCACTGGAGGCAGAAGCATTACCTTTAAAATCTGAACCTTTTATGAGCGGCCTTGTTTCCTCAGCCTTGGGTAGCAGGACACCTTTGAAATATTTAAAAAATAAACAAGAAATCCACCTGTTCTGATAAGCTGCACAAAGCCTCTCTCCAAGAGCTTTCCTGCAGACATTTTTCCACCCCCGAGGTTGGGGTCTTTATGTGACTGAAGCACCTCTCTGGACCTTTCCATGTGTTTTCCAAAATAGAAAATCAGAGATGACTGTTACCATGTCATCTGATTTAAATAAGTGCCGGGTGTTTCTCATATTTCAAGTTACCGAGGGCCCATTTGTCATGGTCATAGGTTAAGGTGTGATGCCAGACAATAGGCAATGAGAACCCAGACCAAGAAGGCTCTAGAAGGTTAAGGCACACGTGGATTGCACACCTACTGTGCGCCTGGCCTTGCCCTAGGCACTATGTGCACATTGCTCCATTTGAGCTCCCCCACAGCGCAGTGGCAAGTGTGTCTTTCATTCCCATTTTTCAGCTGAGGAAGCTGAGGCTCAAAGCTGTTGTGTAACTAGCTCAGCACACACAGATCACACAGCCTATCAGTAGCAAAGCTTCCCATTCATTCACAGGCCTGTGTGAGTTTTCGGCAAAATCATAGGACCTTCTCTCACAATGCTTTCGGGCATCTTACCTTTCCTGTTTGACTGGTAGCTTTTAAACTTTGTTTTGTTAATCTCACTCCACTGTAAAAACATACATTTTCCATCACAACTCAGTACACATATATATATCTGTAGAATGAAAAGGAAAATGTCACCAAGTGGTATTTACCCTGACTAAACATGATGCACCCTGAAAATTTGGTTTCCAATGTCTAATGTTAGTTGCAACCTCTAAATGAATTTTGCAAGTCTGTAGTGGAGAGCAACTCACAATCTGAAGAACTGTTTCATTTACGAACCTCTCAGAAGTAAGGCCTTTCTCATACTCCTTCTGTCTTCCTCGGTGTCTCCCAGAACAGGGCTTGCCCATTGAGGTGTGCCAATGTTTATGGAGGGTTTTCTAGGTCTTAGGCACTTGGTATGTATGCCTTCATTCAATCCTAACAGCAACCGTGTGAAGGAAGTACTGCTGTTAGCCCCATTTTGCAGGTGAGGAATGACAGGAGAGTACATAGCTGGCTCGAGGTCTCATCCTCAGTGAGTTAGAGCCAGGATTTGGACCCTGGCAGCATTCTTCTGGATCCAGCATGCTTATATATCATGGTGTGTGCTATGGTGGTAAGAAATGATTTGCCCTTGGGCCTTCTTTTTCTAATGTTTTTCCAGATGGGGGTACACAGTGCAAGGGTATATACTAATCATTCAGTAACTCAACCGGTGACTTGATCAAGCAGGGTTTCTCGGCCTCAGCACTATTGACATTGTGGCCTGGATAATTCTGTTGTGGGGACTGTCTTGTGCATTATAGGATGTTTAGCAGCAACTCGGGGTTCTACTCACTAGATGCTGGTTGCCATTAGCAACCCCCCACACACACATGCACCCGGTCATGATGACCAAAACGTCGCCAGACATTGGCAAATGTCCTCTGTGTGCAAAATCCCCCCAGACTGAGAACAACTGCGCTAAAGGAACGAAAACTCTGGAACCACCGAAGACCAATCTAAGTTGTCTTTCTTACAGATTCAGTCCAAGAGCGTGGCAGAGATGGGTTTCAGTCAGGGGTCTAGCAGGAGGTAGAAGGCATACTGCAAGGCTTTAACTGAAGGTTCAGTGAAGGGACCAGTTACAGAAGTGAGGATGGGATTAAAGGAGCCCATGGGGGCGAGGTCCCCAGGGACTAAACAGCAGGGACGCCTTTGCCACACTAGGGAAAGGGCCAAGGGAGGGAGTAGTGAGTGCTGAAGCCACTGAAGAGGGGCCGCTGGGCAGAACTCAGGAGCCTAGCCACTGCCAACCCACAATGCAGGAAGGGAGAGCCCCAGGAATCAGTAACCAGATCCTCCGTCTTCCCTCCCTCTCATCTGCTGTGCCTCCCACCTGCCAACCCATCAGGAAGCCAGGAACAAACGAACAGAAGTCCTGCTCTAGCCTGCTCCTAGCCCTGGGAGTCTGGCTGGCTTTACCAACAGTCTCCCTTGTTCTCTAGCAGTCCGCAGAGGTCAGCCTCCAGGGCTCAGAACAGGACAGAGAAGTCTGAAGAATCAATCCGAGAAATCACCAGCACAGGATCAGTTTCACGTGTGCTCACCTTCATGGCATTAGAGTCTCAAGTGATTTATGGCACTTCAGAGCTAATAATTGCCAACTCCTAATTGCATCGATGGGTATGTTATCCCAGAGAAACAAAAATCAAATCAATCAATCAATCAATCAATCAATGAATAAATAAATAGTCTACAGTACAGCACATTCCATATTTTCCTCAGGACAATCAGAATTTCGGGTTGTTCGAGGCCAGACGCAATTTTAACTAATACCACGGGGTATCAGAGGATCTGAGTTCTAGTCTGGCTCTGCCTCTAGCTGGCTGCTGGAAATTGGTCAACTGTATGTCAGCAACAAGCATTTTCTGTGTGACAGCTACTATGCGACAGCATAGAAAGATGAACATGGCCAGACCAATGTCTGCTCTCAAGGAGAACAGGTTAAATGAAGAGAACAGACACAGATCTATAACTCCTGTACAGCATGACCAGAGCTATAATTGAGGCCTAGTGAAGGGGTCTAGGACTAGAGACAAAGGAGCAATTAGTTTTGCTGCAGGCACTTAAGGAAAGCCAAAAACGAAAGCAACACAAAAGAGTGGAGCACTTCGAAGTGGATCTCAAAAAGATGCCAGGCAGACAGTAAGAAAGCATTCCAGGTAGAGTGAAGGCAAGAAAGCGTGAAAGTGCTCAGTCAAAAAGGACCACAAATATTTATGTGTCCCTGGAGCAGAGATTAGCAAACCACAGCCTGAAGGCCAAATCCAGCCTTCTGCTGTTTCTTCACTGTCCTCAAGCTAATAATAGGTTTTACATTTTTAAACAGTTGAAGAAAAAAATCAAAAGAAGAAAAATTCATGACACATGAATATTGTATCAAATTCAAATTCCAGTGTCCGTAAATAAAGGTTTATTGGAACATGGCTTTGCTCTTCGATTTATGAATTGTGTATGGCTGCTTCAGCGCCACCAGGGCAGAGTTGAGCGGTTTGCAATCGAGACAGATGGCCTACGGTCTAGTGTATCTACTACCAGGCCTATTACAGGAAACATTTGCCGAGCCAGAGCATAGTCTGAGGTCTAGAGCAAAGGTAAACACGGAGGGGTAGCCAGGCCTGAGGCTGGAAAGTCAGACAGGAGTCACGTAGCTGGGCTTGATTCCATGGGTGATGAGAGGTGATCAGAAGTTTTTAACAAGTATGGAGATGTGATCCCATTTTCATTTTAGAAAGCTCTCTGACTGCTCTCCAACGAAAATAGGGAGACCGGCGAGGAGTCTTTAAGAATTAGAAGATGGTGAGGACCAGA